AAGAAATAGGGTTCTATTCTGACCCTAGCCCCACCTCCATTCTAAATTTCGTGAAGATCGGGCCATAATTGCGACCTGTAGAGTGATTACAATTTAACATGGACAGACGGACGGACGGACATACATAGCTAGATCGACTCAGCTCGGCGAGATAGGAAGATCCATATATACTTTCGTATGTGGGAAATCAATATTTCGTGGTGTTACATAATTTTTGGCCCAATCAAACTTATAATACCCCCAACACATAGTGTTGTAGGGTATAAAAATCGTTATATTTTCAAACTATTTGCAAAAAATCCACGTTCTTAAATAAAGTATAGAAAAAACCCACGTCTTTCTTAGAACCCATTGCCGAAAAACTCTATTTCTAATTAAAAGTATTCTCAAAAACAGTTTTTGGAGAAATATTAAAAAAAATCACTTCCATTGAGAAGCATTGACAAAACATTGTGTGTCCTTCGAAAAATATTTTAGTAAATGTCCTTCTAAAAATATTTAAATATATTTTTAAACAAGTAAGCAAAGGTTATAGTCGTATGTTGCCGACCATGTTGGAAGCCCCCTAATGTCCAAATCCATTTTGAAGATTCGTTTTTGAAATAATGTCACAGAGCCCTGCCCAAATGTTGCCCTAAGATTTTTGTCCGCCCTACTCAGTCTGTAGTGTTGCTAGGTATTCAAAACAATTTCACACGGAAGTTGTGTTCCATTTTACAGCTAAATATAATGCAATGGTCATCCAAAATGCTAGACTTCTTCCCTGCCTTAATTCTCTTTTCAAGCAAAATTCCGTATCTGGAAAATGTTATTATTTTGGTCCATTTAAATTCAAAAACAACAGGCTTTAATTCTGACCCTAACCCTCCCCCTTTGCAAAATTTCGTGAGGATCGGACGATAATTGCGAAATGTATGTAATGCCCTCAACAAAAAAAAAAAAAAATTATAAAATATACAATTCAAATTTTTAAGTCAAATCAAAAAAATCGCATGCGATAAAAAGTTTGACAAAAATTTCGAATTGCTGAGAATTGTGAAAATCACTCCAGCGGTTCTTGACATATAAGCAGAATAACTAAGATCTATTTCTTTTACATATATATTGTACCTATTTTAATATGTATCCAATTTCTTGGCTATCAGCATCACTGTAATGGTCGGAAGAGAACTTTTAATGTATTTGTAATTTAGCCGGGATTAAAGATATTCGCGGTTTATTGGAAATTTTCATATTTTTTGACCCAGCCCAAAACTCTAACTCCATACAAAATTCCGCGTCGATTATTATCGTTATCAACTGATAACTGTGGAAATTTTTCTGTTTTTGGTCCATTTCTTCAATAGGCTTTCACAACAGGCTTCTATTTTAACCATAACCCCACTCCATTTTTAATTTCGTAAGGATTGGCCCATAATTGCGACCTGTAGCTTGATTAAAAATTAACATAGACAGACGGACATACATAGCTAGATCTACTCAGCTCGGCGAGATATGAAGATCCATGTATACCTTCCTATGTGGGAAACCAATATTTCGAGGTGTTTCATAATTTTTGGCCCAATCAAACTTATAATACCTATAACTATAATAGGGTGCATAATAGTGTTGTAGGGTATATAAAAAAATCCACGTCCTTCGAAAAAGATATTAAAAAATTTCATGTTCTTCAAATATATACCATGCCATCGTAAAATATACTTAAAAGGTCCTTAAAACTATATTCTTAAAATTCTACATCATTAGAAAATTATTATCAAGAAAAAAAATCAACGTTCTTCAAAAATTGTATTAAAAAAACTCAATTCAAAAAATATTTTGTCTTTTGAAAATATTTTAAAAAAATAAAATATAAATTGATAAAAATTGGAGGAATGTTTTGGTCAAAACTTTAAACCTTCAAACGTAAAGAGTCAAATCTTACCCAAACGCCATCAATTCATATATAGAGGCATATAGGGTTAAAGCCGTACTTTGTTTGAGTTTGTGCAAAAATCTGCAACAAAGCATGCTTTCGGACGATGATGCTAAAGACAGAACTATTATATTGAAACAAACCAAAAATATTCTATAATGTCAAAGGGTCTTGATAGTACTCGTTTTTAGAATAATACCTCAAAGGAGTTTTGGATTCTCAGACCGTATGTTTTTAAAGCCCTTATACAGTTGAGAGGGGGAAACTTGTCCCCTCTATTAAGCTTACTTTGTGAATTAAATTTTCAAAACGCCGATATACTTGCTTTCTTTTTTTAGCTTTAGCTCTTTTAGCTTTTAGTTTCTTATTCTACTGGATTCTCCCCGTAATTATTTTTGGTTTTGCTCAGCGTTATATATTATACGGGTGAGATAAAAAATTGTAACAAAGTCAAACGTCACAATTTTTATTTTTTAATTTTATGAAAGCAAAATATGTCGGAAATAGCATCAAATTTTAGACAAAGTTTAGTTGTTTCGAAATGGTCACCTTTGGCACGAATTATGACATTCAAGCGGCCCGTGACACACTGCCCGAATGTTGCTCTGCGATATTTTGGCCCATTCCCGCCGAAGCGCATGCTTGAGGTGATCGACACTTTGGTATTTTTTAGTGCTAACCTTGCTTTTCAAAATACTACAGACACAAAAGTCCAACGGATTAGTATCCGGAGACTTCGGTGACCATTGTGTGCTGGAAATGAAGCGAGGAACCTCATATTGTCACATTCTTGGGTGGCGGGTGCAGAGTGTGATGGTGCTGAGTCCTGTTGGAATGTCCAAGGTTTGTGGCAAAAATGTTTTCGTACTCGACGCTTGAATACACACTCCAGAACATTTTCGCAATATTATTTGGTATTTATTTTGATGCCACGGTCGATTAATACGAGCGGAGAGCGACCATCGGCTGTTATGGCGGCCCACTCCATCACCATGGTCGGCGCTTGAGTTCTGGTGGCCAACCGAAGGTGCACATTTTCAGCGGACCTCTTTGACAATTAAACACGATCATTTTGTTTGTTTACAAACTGGTGGACAACGAATGTTTTCTCGTCGGAGAAAACGAAATTCGGCAGTTCACCACTTTCAGCCAAGCGAAGCAACTGAATAGACTGAAAAGGCTTAATTTCAGTCTACTTCCTTTATGTTGTGGTGTAAGTTGTTGCACTTTTTGGAATTTCAATGGCTTTACCTCGAGCTCATTAATATACCCTACAACTACACAAGGTGGTCAGGGTATTATGTCTTTGTTCATTTGTTTGTAACAGGCAAAAGGAAACGAGATAGACCCATAGTTCCTTTTGATGATCTGCATAGAATCACATTCTGAGTCGATTTATGCATGTCCGTCCGTCCGTCTGTCCATGTATTTTTGTAAACAAAGTACAGTTCGCATTTATTGCTCTACCCTGATGAAATTTTGCACAAATCATTTGTTTGGCCCAAGGACCCAAGAACCCTATTGAAATTGGAGATAATCGGTAAAAATTTAGATACAGCTCCCATATATATTTTCGTCCGATTTGCCTTTTATTGTGCAAAAAAAAGGTGTAATATCAGTCCGAATAGTATGGAATTTTGCACGTATGATCAGATTGGACCTGAAAATAAGTATTCTAAATTTTATCGAGATCGGTTCAGATTTGGATATAGCTCCCATACATAACTTCGTCCAATTTACCTTTGATTGTGCACCAAATATTGGATGAAATTTGGCATTTACGACCGAATTGAGTCTAGAAGCTAGTACGTCAAATTTGGTGAAGATCGGTTCAGATATAGCTATAGCTCCCATATATACTGTTCATCCGATTCGTCATATTTGTAACCCACAGTAGTAATATGCACTCCGTAACAACGATATTCAGGGAAATATATCAAATACAGCTCAGAAATATCTTTGCCAAATTTTATCGAGATCGGTTCAGATTTGGATCTAGCTCCCATATATATTTTTATCCGATTTCAAACTTTAAATTATAATCATAGCGTGTATGATTGAATTCTCCCATAAAAACTTTTTATTGTTATGCGCAGCTCTACTAAATTAGTAAAGTGGTGTAGGGTATCATAAAGTCGGCCCGCTCGACTTTAAGACCTTCTTTACTGGTTTAATATTTGCCGAATAGAATATTGCAATATGTTCGATCAAGTCGCTTCTTTAGTTTTTTCTGACTTCAAATGTAATTTTCAAAAAATGCAGTTACTATGAAATTTAAAATATTCTTTTAAAAAATATTTACTTCCTTTAAAAACGTTATTAAAAATATTACATTCTTTATTCTGAAAAAATCAGGACCCTTCCAAAATATTCAAAAAAAAAAAAAAAAAATCCTGAGGAAATCACAATTTTTTTTCATAATATTCTTTTTAACATTTATAATAAGAAATCCAAATTTATTAAACAATATACTCACCAGAATTCACATCCTTAGGAAAATTTTCTTAAATATTTTACGTTCGTCTTCGACTTTTCTTTAATTCTTAAATAAGCTGCTTTACATCCATAGAATTTCAAAATCCATTACTTCATTACAATTTGTAGGTCAGTTTTGACAATATTTCGATAAAATTTGATTATCTATTGCGTGAAAAAAAAATCATTACATCTTTTCAACATATGTTTCATTTGGGGGTTTTTCCTGTCACCATTACATCGCATGCTTACATTTTATGTGGTCAGATATGTAACTTCTTCCCTTTCGGTTTGTAAAGGCAAGACCAAAAAAAAAAACTAACATAAAAAGCTTGGGGGTTGAAGCGGAACCACCTAATGGCCATTAGCCTAAGTGAAAAAAATAAAAATATGTTTCAAGCTAAAATACATTTTCGACATTCGCCGCAGTGTAATGGCCGCCTTATGGATGCAAATTGGATTTATTAGCTGGACCAAGAATAACCAGAGACTGTTTTCTATCGTTGCATTTTTTATTATGCCTAAAAGTGTTTCTTGGCAACTTAAATATTTTGTTGAAGACACGAAAATGAATTCTTATTTTGCTTTTCGTGCCCCCATTTCGTTACAGATGCGGCTGTGATGAGTGCGTTACATCACAGGAAACCGACTCTTTGCGCCACTCACAATCACGTATAATGCCTATCGTGCTCTATCGGCCAGCTCTTTGATTGCCCTCAGCTCACGTGATCCTGTCCTGACAGCATTCGAATTGGCTTGGGAGTTGAAACGTCTACAAACTATGGAATCGGAATTTCGTGCTGAATATGGGGTAAATAATTTAAAATACATTTTTATCCCGCAGTGATGACTTTCCAATCACGACAATAACAAAGCAGTACTTAACGAATCGAAAAAAATCAATATTTTTCACTTATTGCATAGATTTGATCCTATGTGTTTAGGGCTAAAATTGTCATTGAGAACTATGAATGAGCTAATTAAAGCTTAGAAATTCCATTTGAAACTCTGAAAATTATAGGACACTCTAATTGGAATTCAAACTTTTCAGTTGGAATTCAAAAAAATGTCATTAAAATTCTGAAAGATTCTAAAATTATAATTCATAATATTCAAACCAATTTTAAGTAAATCTCGACTTAACAAGGTGTATGGAGAAAATTATCAGAGGAAACGATACAACAGTGTGTCTATATTGCTGGTTTTCTTCACACGGATATGTTTTTTAAGCCCTCTGTAACTGTTCTAAGCTTAAAAATTTTCATTTCAAATTCAAGACACGCCAATTGGAATTTAAAATTTTCAGTTGAAATTCACAAAATTTCATTTAAATTCTGGAAGATTCTGAAATTATAGTTCATAATATTTAAAATATAAAATCCACTTTAAATAATTATCGAAAAATCAAAATGTATTAAGAAGTCTTTCAGAGGATATAAAAATTAATAATAAATATACAGAGGATATAAACATTGTGTCTACGTTTCTGTTTTTCTTCACATGGATGTATTTTTCAAGTCTTTGTGCCTGTTTTTAGATTTACATTTTATGGAGTAAAATCGTATGCAATAGACCATTTAAGTGCTTTAACACAAAACAGCGGTCATAGCTGGAGCTTTTTGACTATTAATGTCGGCATATTTGAAAAATAAATTATGTTCTGAATTTCGATTGAAGAAAACCAAATTTCTAATGAAATATCTATATATATGAATATCAAAAACAAATTCTGGAATTTAAAATGATTTTCTGAATTTCAGATGGAAATTCCGATTTTAAAATTCCAAATATCAAATGACAATGTCATTTTTGTAACGTAATTTTGAATAATTTCTGAATTTTGAATGAGTCATCGGAATATGAAATGAATTGCGAGGAACTTCGAATGAATGAATGAATGAATTACAAATGTATTTTTCAGTTGAAAATCTCCTGAACTAAAACTACTCTCTCATCAATGAATTGAAAATTGTTCCAATTATAAATGCTTATTCTTATAGCCCTTTCAGCAAACAGACAAATAGAATTTTTGATTTCCATACGTAACTAAACAAGAAGAGCTTTTTTCTATAGGCAAATCTTAGTTCACCTAACTCCAACACAAACAAAACGAAGTGCCAAAGTAGACAATCCAAAAATATCAATTGTTCATTCGCAAAATTTAAATAAAGCAAAATATTGTGTTTGAAAATGAATAGTTCACAAAAAAGGTATGGTCCATTTTAACCGATGTGCTGCGTCGATCACAACAGATGCGCTTCTTCGCCGTTCTAAATTATGCGCCAATTGGCATATAATTATGACCTGAGAGACTACAAAAACTTGTTGGTCCATTTCAAGCCCTAAAGATTTCTACTCTGATCCTATCCCTGACTCAAAGCAAAATTTCGTGAGGTTTGCGTTATAATTGTGAGCTGTAGCGTGATCACAAATTAAAATGGACTGACGGACTACACATAGGTAAATAGACCCAGCTCGGCGAGATAGGAAGATAAATATGTAATATCATGAGGTCTAGAAAAAATATTTCGAGGTTTGTGGCATCACCTAACCTTTGGCGGATTAGGTTGATATTTCCGCTACCCTCATTTAGACTTTTATTTAAATGAGAAATTCAAAACCGACGTCCGGACATAATTCCCGCGGTCATAGTCCCCATTGAATATATGTCGTAATCCCCATAATAAAGTGGGAAGTATGGCCGCTACAAAAATATTAAATGTAGTAAACTTGTGTTCGCGTTGTGCGGACATACCCATTGTTATGGGAGTTATGGGGGTTACCCATTATTATGGGGGTTATTAGCTTTTGTTTTTTTTTTTTTTTTTTTTTTTTTTTTGTTGGACATAATCCCCATTCCATTGTAGTGGTTCGGTCGCAATCCCCAGAGAGTTGCGGACATAATCCCCATAATAATGGGTATGCCCAAAACGATTGGGTGTGCCAAAAAATTAAGATATTCTACTCTGGGTATGGCTAGACAGCCTTTGGCCGTTGCTCGAGATTTTGTCCTCTGAGTATGTCCCGCACCGGCTACCGTGATTTAAAAATTTCTAAAATTAATTTTTTTTGTGTGTCCGTTTTGGAAGCGGTTATGACCAAAAACAAACCGAACATAGTCCCCATAATAGCAACGGGATTTTGTCCGGACACCAACACGGCACCTCCAAAACCAGCGGAAGCAATAATTTTTAAAAAAATAGAAAATTTAAAAAAAAAAATTTGACAATAGAGCAATAGGTGAAATGAGCTTTTACTCCCAGATGAAAAAATATATGAACTGAAATAAAAACTTGATTGTCTGGATAGCAATTGCTTGTCTGCCTTAAATAAAAGTTCTGTAAACAGGCTAATAATCACCATAATTGCAATGTGGATTATGCCCGGGCAACTAGACGGCACAGAGAAAACCAACGGGCGCAATCATTTCTAAAAAATTAAAACATTTTCTTTTTGGAAACAAAAAAAAAAATCTTTTTGGAAACAAAAACAATTTTTTTTACAGCAGAGCAATACGTAATAAAAGGTATTCCTGGACGAAAAAAGTAATTGAACTGAAATAAAAACTTGACTGCTGCCTTAAACAAAAGTTCTGTCAACAGGCTATTAATCTGGACTACCTTTGAGATTTAAATATTTCGTTAATATTTCAATTTGATTTCGTTATTCATTATTTCGTTTACGAAACTCCGTTTCAAATACAAAAATATGTTTACTTCCATGATTTAATCCAAATTGCTTTCATCACTCTTCAGGAGATGCGACAAGGTGTTCAAGAGTTTGTAACGTCTCTGCTAGATCATGTGCGAACATCTACGGAACTGGAAGTTATGTTAAATTTCAATCACGAACCATCGAATGAAATCTGGTTTCCTGGAAAGAGGCAAACATTGGAGAGATTAAAGTTGGCAATTCGTTTCAAACAAAAAACGGTGAGTACATGAAGAATATTTGAAAAAAGAAAGCTGGCAGTCTATATGGGATAGCAAGAAGTCTATATAATTGCGATCTTTAACTAGGATTCAACATGTGGATGAGGTGGCTATTTGTGCATTTGTTTGTAACAGGCAAAAGGAAACGAGATAGACCCATAGTTCCTTTTGATGATCTGCATAGAATCACATGCTGAGTCGATTTATGCCGTCTGTCCATGAATTTTTGTAAACAAAGTACAGTTTGTATTTATTGCCCGATGCACAAATCATATGTTTGGGCCAAGGACGAACTCTATTGAAATTGGAGATAATCGGTCAAAATTTAGATATAGCTCCCATATATATCCTCGAACGATTTGCCTTTTATTGTGCACCAAACGTGTAATATCAGCCCGAATAGTATGTAATTTTGCACATACAACCAAATTAGCCCTGCAAATAAGTATGCCAAAATCGGTTCAGATATAGCTATAGCTTCCATATATATATTGTTCAACCGATTTGTTATTTTTGTCCTCGGCAGCCGTAATATGCACTCTGTAACAACAATATTTGGGGAAATATATTAAATACTGCTCAGAAACACCTTTGATCGGTTCAGATTTGGATACAGCTTCCATATATAACTTCGTCCGATTTACCTTTTATTGGGCACCAAACGTCTAATATTTGTACAAATGGGATGGAATTTGGCACTTATGACCGAATTGAGTCCTTACTGGTTTATAAACGTAAATAGCAATACATCAAGGAGTCTCGTTATAGTCAATGTGAGAAAGGGAGTCGATAGAAGGGTATTATATGAATACTAATCTTATCAAATATTAAGGTCCCTCTAAAATATTAAATTAAAAATGTGCTGCTCTAGTAGTATTTAAATGTGTTCGTTAATGATTTGAGGAATATTGTTTAAATAGATTTCAATTATTCTTTAAACGTTTTATTTTATTTTTTATTTTATTTTATTATCGACAAAATATCCAGTTTGTTGCCCATCCCAACGTACAACAGCTGCTTGCTGCCATTTGGTATGAAGGTCTACCCGGCTTCCGTCGTAAACAGGCGTCACAGCAAATTATGGAGGTGCTAAAACTGGGTTGCATGTTTCCCATCAACAGTATGAATTATTTGATGTCACCGGACTCTGATGCTGGCAAATTTATGAAGAAACCATTTGTAAAATTCATATCACACTCTTGTTCGTATATGGTCTTTTTGAGTGAGTCTTCATGGAGAAGATCTCTTCGAAATAATTGGAGTTACATTATAATTTTGTTTTTAGTGCTATTGGGCGCCGCTTCTTTACGTATCGTCCAGATAATGTTCGAATTGATTGCTTTTCCCTGGATGTTGGCGATGTTGGAGGATTGGCGAAAACACGAACGTGGTTCCCTACCCGGTCCCATTGAATTGGGTATTATTATGTACATAAGCAGTGAGTATTAAAATCTATAAAAAACGACTTTTTTGTGCATGATATGGTGGTGAGTAATGATAATGTTGGTTTGGACTGACTGCCTTCTCACTCGTATTTATATTTCCTCATCTAAACATGGACGTTTCTAGAATCCGAATACAGGATATTCTGCAATATTCTAACGAAATAGGAACTACGCATATATGTTCCAATAAACATATACAAACCAACCAAAGCATGTAAACAACTAAGGAAAAAGTATTCATAAATACGAGTGAGTGACAGAGAACGATTAATAAAGTCGCTAAAATAACTATAAAGCTAAGGCTGAAACATAGAAAAAGATGTATGGAAAAGAAAATATAAATAATAATTGCTCTGTCCCAGAACCTGCAATTTGATATTTTTCGATATCATAAACGAAAAATAGGCTGTAGTAGTAAAAACTTTTACATTTTTTATACCCTACACCACAAGGTGGTCAGGGTATTATGTTTTTGTGCATTTGTTTGTAACAGGCAAAAGGAAACGAGATAGACCCTTAGTTCCTTTTGATGATCTGCAAAGAATCACTTTCTGAGTTGATTTATGCATGTCAGTCCGTCCGTCTGTCCATGTATTCTTGTGAACAAAATGCAGGTCACATTTATTATCCGATTGAGATGAAATTTTGCAAACAATATTTGTTTGGCCCAAGGACGAACTAATTGGAGGTAATCGGTAAACATTTAGATATAGCTCCTATATATATCTTCGTCCGATTTGCCTTTTATTGGGCACCAAACGTGTAATATCAGCCCGAATAGTATGGAATTTTGCGCATTAGGCCTGAAAATAAGTATGCTAAATTTGATCGAAATCGGTTCAGATATAGCTATAGCTCCCATATATATTGTTCACCCAATTTGTTATTTTTGTCCTCCGCAGCCGTAATATACACTCTGTAACAACAATATTTGGGGAAATATATCAAATGCAGCTCAGAAATACCTTTGCTAAATTTTATCGATGTCGGTTTAGATTTGGATATAGCTCCCATATATAACTTCGTCCGATTTACCTTTTATTGTGCACCAAACGTCTAATATTTGCCCAAATGGGATGGAATTTGGCACATACGACCTAGAAGGTAGTATTCCAAATTTGGTGATGATCGGTTCAGATATAGCTATAGCTCCCATATATATTGTTCATCCGATTTGTTGTATTTGTTACCTACAGCCGTAATATGCACTCCGTAACAACGATATTCAGGGAAATATATCAAATACAGCTCAGAAATATCTTTGCCAAATTTTATCGAGATCGGTTCAGATTTGGATATAGTTACCATATATATCAATATAAGTCCGAATTTAAAAGATACAAATTCTTCGGCATATTTAGTCCTTTGAATTTTAAATTATAATTATAATCATAGCGTGTATGATTGAATTCTCCCATAAAAAAAAAACTTTTAATTATTAAGTGGAGCTCAACTAAATTAGCAAAGTGGTGTAGGGTATCATAAAATCGGCCCCGCCCGACTTTAGCAAATAACCATAGGAAAAAAAACATGAAATGGACCACTACTTTTGTGTGAAAAAAATACCAACATTTCCATTCTACCGAAACGCTGAAAATGACTTACAGGCGAAATCCAAAAAATACACAAAAGGCGAACTTCTGGCTTTTGTATGCTGATTTGGTTGACGAATATAGCCAAATATCGTAGACAAGCAAATCATATAGATGCGTTTAAATTTAGAGATACAGAGGGTCTCTTGCTTTTGGAGATGATCGCAAAATATGTAGGGATTCAAATGACTCAAAAACAGAAAAAAAATTCCTGATCACACAATTGAGGCCAATCGACACGGAATTTTGCAGGAGAAGAGAGTTATAGCATTTTGGATGACCATTGGATTATGTTTAGCACGACGGAGTGCGTAAATATTGGGCAAATGTCCCTGGTCTAAATGCTAAGAGTAATATCTGGGCAGTGTTCCGTGACAATATTTCAAAAGCGAAATTTTCCAAAATGGATTTAGAATTAGGGAGCTTCCAACATAGTGTAGTGTTGTAGGGTATCACATGGTCGGCCCCGCATGACTATAGCTTTCACTTACTTGTTTTGGTATATTTTTCTTTTTGATGTTTCTATCATATTTTTTATTCTTTCCATATTTTGCTAGGTTTAATATTTGGCGAATTGAAATCACTTTATTCGGATGGTATTTTCGAGTATATTCAAGATCTTTGGAACATTGTGGATTTTATATCGAATATGTTTTATGTAACCTGGATTCTTTGTCGTGTCACAGCCTGGATTGTGGTTCATGTAGGTTGTTGAATAAGAGACTCAACGATTTTTCTATATTTACCTGCTTTTTTGTCTTCTACAGCGTGATCTTTGGTATCGTAATATAGATCCCTATTTTCCACGAGAACATTGGCATCCATTTGATCCTATGCTTTTGTCCGAAGGTGCCTTTGCCGCCGGCATGGTATTTTCCTATCTCAAGCTGGTTCACATATTCTCCATAAATCCACATTTGGGACCACTGCAAGTATCGTTGGGTCGCATGATTATCGACATCATAAAGTTCTTCTTCATCTATACCTTGGTCCTGTTCGCTTTTGGCTGCGGTCTCAATCAGTTGTTGTGGTACTATGCCGAATTGGAACAACACAAATGTTATCATCTTCATCCAGATGTGGCCGACTTTGATGATCAAGAAAAAGCTTGTACCATATGGAGACGTTTCTCAAAGTAAGGATGAAGCCCATCAAAAATCCAGGAATAGAATTTTAACTAATTTATTTCATTTCAGTCTCTTTGAAACATCCCAGTCTCTGTTTTGGGCTTCTTTCGGTTTGGTCGACTTGGTGTCGTTCGATTTGGCTGGCATTAAAAGCTTCACCCGTTTTTGGGCCCTACTCATGTTCGGTTCATATTCCGTAATCAATATTATTGTCTTGCTCAACATGTTGATTGCCATGATGTCCAATTCATACCAAATCATTTCGGAACGTGCTGATGTTGAATGGAAATTCGCTCGTTCCCAACTATGGATGAGCTATTTTGAAGATGGTGGCACTGTACCACCACCGTTCAATATGATGCCCTCGGTGAAGCTCTTGAAGAAGGCATTCGGTAAGGTGTCACGCAAACGGTCGAAGAGTTTTATGGTAAGTTTTGTCAAGATGATTTTTCTTGTGAATACATTTTTAATCAGATTTAAAAAAGGTGTCTAAGGAGGAATGCCATGAAATATCTTATAGGTGCCATTTGATGCCCTTTTAGAAATGACATCCAAATGTTGTAATACAAATTTAGAAATGCTCAGATTTTTAAAAGGCGTTTGAGGGGGAATGTCTTGAAAATTTTTTGACCTTTTAGATATTGTAAGGCATTTCATATCACCCTAATGTTGTAGAACAATTTAACAAATCTGTTGATGTTCAGTTGGGATCTTCTCCCCTTCCTAATGTGGGTCACTGGTTTCTAAAATGTCGCCACGTGCGGTATGCAGAGTATATGTTGAAAAATCGGAATACCAAGATGGAGTTACATGGATATTCATTGCCTAGAATGAAGTCAACCAGGTTTCCGTATCAACGTCTTGTGGTAACATATTTTAGGCTGACAGGGCTTCTTTTTGCCTTTTAATAATCTGAGTGCTCGACAATAGCCTTTGCTTACTTGTTAAAAATACAAACTTATTTTCTTTTTTGTGAGTCTCAATGATTGATGTTGAATATTTCTTCCTTTGACACCTTCCCATCAAACTAAGAAAGGAAACATGTTGTATTAACAGTAAAACCCACAAACACATAATATATAAATTTGAATGTTTCCCGTCTTCGAACCAAACTTGGTTGAAATCAAACCTCATATTCCCTTCGAGAGTTATCATGCGCACCAGCCTGCCAGTCGGACGGACGGACACCCCTATATCAACTCCAAATATCCTGAAATGTTATTTCGTGTTGTATACAATATATGCAAAGATTCCAAGGAATCTTTAAATTTCAAGAAATGTGGCAGAGAGTGGAACTTTTAAGCTAGTTTACGGTGTAAACTTTCAACACGTGTTACCTATTTTATGTATACAATGTACTAGATTTTTCCTGTAATTATAAAAAATTAACTTTGTCGCATAGTGATATTAACAAAAGTATTGTGTTTTCTTGGCAAAAAAATCAATCTTGGCAATCAATCAATGAAGCCGTTTATCATAAGTCCTTGAAAATTCATCAATAAGAATCCCTTTAGAGTATTTTTATTTAGCTGCTGACAAAGAACTCAAATTTGGGAATAATTTTGGATATACCCCTGAAAAAGGTGATATTATTGTTTCTAGATTTGACATAGTATTTGGGAAAAACACAAGTCCAAGTGTTGCTTTGCCGTTAGGAAAAATTATAAATACAGGTTATGATATGTCGTTGGAAAGACTTATCATTCCAAAAAAAAGATACATAGTAACGTTAAGTAAAACAAGTAAAAAAACAGTAAGTTCGGGCGGGCCGAACTTCGAATAGCCTCTACCATTTGGAACGAATTTGTGTACCGTTGTATGTGGGCTATACGATAACTTGAACCTATATAGATATTTCTGTTCGGGGGAATAAAGTGCTTGGAAACAACTTCTAGTATGGATTTTTAGATAATTCTATTCAAAAATGTTGCTAAAATCATCAAAATGCCGAATATAGGGAGGTACCGTTGTATGGGGGCTACACGATAGCATTGTCCTATATAGACAATAATCTCCAGGGGATGAAGTACTCAGCAGCAAATCCTTATGTGGATTTTCAGACAATTTTATTGAAAAATTTGGCAACAATCCTAAAAATGCCGAATATCGGGGGTACCATTTTAAGGGAGCTATGATAAAGTAGACTTATATAGACAATTCTCCTCCATACGGTAAATTACTCAGAAAGAACTCGTTGTTTTAGACAATTATATTGGAAAATGTGGCGGATGGAGAGGGCTAAATCGTCTTATAATTTTACGCTAATTAAGAAAATATATAATTTGTTATGTCTTAAATGATTATTTCGATGAGTTACAAACGGAATGACGAATTTAATATACCCTCCATACTAAGTATGGTGGAGGGCATAAAAAATCTACAATATCCTTGAAAAAAATGTCATAAAGGATACTTGTTATATTATTTTCTTGCAAACAACTAGCATAATAGGTCCACGATATACAAAGACTACAAGGACTATACAGGATATTTATGACAATATCCAATTTCTTAAAAATTATATACGTAATTCTCAAAATTGTGTTCATGCCCTTTGGACGATGTAAATACATGTTAAAATTTTATAGGTTTTTTTTATAAGAAATATGCTCTTAAAATTGAAGAAAATTATTTTTTTTAATTGTATTTTCAAATGGTTGTTGCTTTGTCCATTTATGGAACCCCATACACACGTCCCTTTTTGATGGCTGGTAATATCTTTGCTTAAGGATACAAAAATGTTGGCTAGTCTTGCTTCAACGCAAACGGCAAATAAATAATAAACATTTTGAGCTGCTGTGATTGAGTGCTGTGAGCATCAAAACAACACTGGGCCAACGGAACTAAAATTGTTTGCAAATTGTTTTAAAGGGATTAACGATAATAAATTGAGGACATTATTCGTAATAAAGCAACCCAACACGGCTCTATGAAGCTGTGACAAAGAAAACATTGACAGACGTCATAGATAAAAATGGGAAAACACTATCTCAGATGAAAATGTTCAAATGAATGCAAATTTTGCATTTGCGGTATTTTGTGAGAGAAGGGGGGAGTTTGGGATGATTGCTGCTTGCTTTTTTTCAATTTATCATCTGACTTAGCTCTTACCTCTCCCCTCTTCTTTATATTTCACACAGCGTAAATCAATGGAAAAGGCATTGGCTCTCCATGAAAAGGTAATGAAACTCTTAATACGACGTTATGTCACTGCCGAACAAAGGCGCCGTGATGATTTCGGTATTACCGAAGATGACATCATTGAAGTGCGTCAGGACATCAGTTCGTTGCGTTTCGAATTATTGGAGATTTTCCAGAATAACAACTATAATGTACCGGATATTGAAAAGAAAACAGCAGCAGCAGCAGGTGAGTATGACACACAATACGAAACACACACAGACACACGCACTGACAAAAAACATAGATGTACTGCCAGTGCATTCGTGTGGCCTTGTTCTAATTAACGGAAAGTGAGAAATTGGAAATTTTGTTAATCAAATATTTACTGTTTTCGGTTACAGCTGGAACCAAAAAGGGCAAAGTTTTGGAAAGACGTATTCTCAAAGATTTCCAAATTGGTTTTGTTGAAATTCTAAAGGAGGAAATGGCTGCGGAGGGTGGTGGCGATATATTCTCTTCATTGGCCAATGTCATGGGTAAAAAGAAGTCACAAAAGGGGTAAGAATTTTCAGAGTAAGAGAAATGCAACATATGTTGTCCCCCCTCTCTCCCTCTTTCTACAGAATATCAATTAACGTGCTCATTTTTATTTAAAAAATTCTTCTCTCTCTCTCTGTATTTGCAGTGAAAAAGATTGGAATGAAATTGCTCGCAAAAATACAATGAGCTCAAATCCCATTGGCAGCAAAAGCTCATCGTTGCAGCGTCATTCACAGCGCAGCTTGAGACGTCGCATTATCGACGATGCCAATGAGGGCTTGAGAATGGATCAAAATCAATTGCTTGGTATGCCAATATTATAACTCCATCATATTAAGAATTTAATATAATGTGACCTGTCGTTATTCTCTTCCTATAGCTTATAAACCAGAGCTGGGTGATGTGACAAGAGCAACACGTGTAGCCTACGTTAAATTCATGAAAAAGAAGATGGAACATGATGAACAAACAGCTCCGCCTGAACCAGAACCTGCAGCAGCCGCCGCCGGCAATGATACAAGGAAGACCATAAAGAGAGTACAGGTAAGGAAGTTTTATAGAATTCACAGATTTTTTTGTGGAAAAAGTTATCCACTTTTGTTGACACCAGCGTACGAAAACAAACGAAACTATTAACATATCCCTCTCACGAAGACACAAACTTTTAAAAATTTTCAATCGTTTTGTACTCCAAGCAAAACCTTAATGTACTTCGGTTATGAGTTGCCGAGTTGTATCGTATACGAATCGCGTTTACCAACGTTTGTTATGCAAATGATGACCGGTACATTAAGAGTTGTTATTCTTAACTTTGTGTTTTGTACTTTTTAGATTTAATGATGAGCAAATAAATGCATAAGGAGTAAAAAAGCTGTAAATTAGCCGGGCCAAACTTTGAATACCCTCCACCATTTGGAACAAATTAGCAATTCTCAAAAAAAAAAACCGTTAAAATCTTAACAATACCGAATGTAGCTGTTACATTAGGGTCTATACGACGACATGGACCTGCATAGGTAACTTTTGTCATAAGCTATTACAATATTCAAATGCGAAACTTGAAAAAAATCTGCTTATAATGTAGCTAACATAATCAAAATACCGAATATAGGGAGGTACCATAGGGGTCGTAAAATGTAGACCTGCACAGACAATCTTCTGCCACAGGCTGTAGCATCCATTACGAACTTCAAATACCAAATTTGAAATAATTCAGGTAAATAATGTCGCAAAAATCATCAAAATACCGAATATCTGAAGGTACCGTTATATGGGGGCTATACGAAGACGTAAGCCTACTTGGCCCATTTTCAATACCAAGTCCTGCATACATAATACGTATTTGAGTAAATTTTTATTAACTAACTTAATTTCGTTCGGAAGCTAGAGTGATTTCCACAAACGGACGAACATTGCTAAATCGACATAGAATTTTATGCTGATCAAGAATATTTATACTTTGTTGGGTCTAAAATGTATATTTCGAGGTGTTACAAAGGGAATGACAAACTTAATATACCCTCCATACTATGGTGGAGGATATAAAAATGAATAATTTTAACGTTGAATTAGTTTGTACATTATTTGTAATGAGTTAATATACAGGCAAACGTCTGCAATGAGTATTGTACTGTTTCGTTTCCAATGTTGCGTCATCCAGCAATGTACATTTATGTTCTGCTTTTGTTTCTACACAAACAGTAAAAAAAATAAACAAGTGCCGTTATCTTAATATCGGTTTTGTTTCGTTTCGTACTACGAGGAAATACAAAACGAACCGATTGTAAACGTTTCCAATAGGTTATTTTCGTTCGCTGGTGGATATTATATTTGGGGTTGGTGAATAAAACTATCCAAATTAGGAGATAAAATTGTCGGTCGGGTGATAAAGTTTTTCACGGTGATCAGTGTGACCATTTTAGCATTTTTGCAGCAAAATTTTCATTTAGCATTCTTCTTAGCTTTATGAAATTATTAGTTTAGCATTTTTTAGCTTTTTTTTGGTCAAAAAATTTTCTTATATTTTAGTCCTTTTTATAAATCCAATTTTTCTTAAACCTAAACAATTAAATTACATGAACATTTTGAACGAAATTACTATTTTAGAAAAGCAACTGCAAAAGCTAATTACATATGAATGGGCAAACATAGACTCAACGATTTTTTTATTGTATAACAAATTAAAAGTGTTTTAAACGAAAACCCGTTCAAGGAATTTTCTTCTTTTGTTATGAATTGTCTAGTTTTACCTTTTAGTAGCGCAGAAGTTGGAAGAGTTTTCAGTGGCATGAACCTTATAAAAGCAGAAATTAGAAATAGAATATTATACACTGTGAAGTCACATCTTTACATTAGGTTAAATAAAGGTTGCGAAGGTTTTAAGATTACAAACGATCTCATTCTAATCATCATTCGGTCTCTAATTTTCAAGTAGCAGGACTTAATACATTTTAATAACATCATATTAAATTTAAAAACAGATGATGGACCTTATTGGTCCTCCTTCGGAATAACCTTCATGGATCTGGATCCAAATTATTTTTTCAAAAACCTGTCATCTCTAAAAAATTTCATGGTTTGGACCGAAGTAATGCATATTCTTATAGAATTTGCCCTATAGTAAAGCTTAAGAAAAGAGAGTCATGCTGGTGGCTATTCAGAACAATATTTGTAAATTAAGGTTTCTCTATATGAATTGTTGTAAAAAAAAATCCGAAGTGCGCCATTCGTATATTTCTTAATTCGCCTGGAATTCACTTTCAGCATTTCGGTGGAATAGACATTTTGGTATTTTTTCCCACAAAAATTGGGGCTCATTTTATCCGCTAACTGTTATCCGATGACCATCCAAAATGCTTGGCAGGGCCGATACCGAACTCCCCCTTTAAATTTTTTATGGATCGGACGATAATTATGACGTGTCAGAAAAATTTCAATTTTAGGTCCCCTGAATATTTTGCGATCATCTCCAAAAACATCAAGCTTTTATTCTGACATTACCTCACCCTCCATCCTACATTTCGTGAGGATCGGACCATAAATGTGCCCTGTATATAATGTTCTCAATATATATAGTGTTGTAAGGAGTAAAGAGCAAAATGTAAAATTCAATATTGTAAGTCAAAATGAAAATATCAGCATTTTAGCAAATATATATCGCTATATTTATCCGATATCTTCTCTATCAACATTTACGTAACGGTCAGAATTTATCTTTTCGTGTATTTGTAATTTCCCAGTGATTAAAAATATTCGCAGTTTAATAGAAAAATTGTTTTTTTTTTAAACAAAACTTATGGTCAATTTCACACGCTCGATATTATCCGATGGAAAGCTTCTTCCCAGTCCTAAGCTCTAGCCCCATGCTAAATTCCGCGTCTATTGGTTCATAATTGTGACCTGTAACGTGATTGCAAATTAAGATAGGTAGTTCGGCTCAGCTTAGCGAGATTGGAAGATCAATATATACTTTCCTATGTGGAAAGCCAAAATTTCGAAGTGTAACATATTTTTTGGTCTAATCAAACTTATAATACCCCCAACACATAGTGTTGCAGGGTTTAAAACGTATTTATATTTAGCATTATTTTTTGGCATTTTAATTTTTTTTGTTTGGCATTTTTTAACATTATTTTTATGCTGTTTTAGCTGCAACACTATTTTAGATCTGGTCACACCGTCGGTGATGCATAAAATTATCTACGGTGGTGGATAAAATTATCCATGGTAGTGGATAAAATTATCCATTATCCACGTAGGTGGATAAACTTTTATAGGCTGCGTGAAGAATTTATCCACTTTACTGTTCACAATTATTTGCATTTATGGATAAAATTGTCCATATTTGTGGATAAAATTATCCGGGTTGGTGGTAGGAGTAAAATGATCTACATTGGTGGAAAGAACTTTTATGGTTGGTCAATAGAATTATCTACATCGATGTATTAAATTATTACTTTGATTGATTGGTGGATCGAATTATCCAGTTTTGTGAATAAAAAAGAACCATAATAAAAAATACTAGGATAAAACAACATCCGCTATAATCGGATGAATTTACCCTCGTCGGAAAAAAACTGATCCCCGTTGGGGGATAACCTAATCCAGTTTAGAAAGTCAACTTGGTGGATAATAGTAAAAAAATATTCGAATCCATATATTGCATTTTTTCCCTTTTAAAGATAAATATATTATTACATTTTTATAATTTATTTTGTGATTACTCCACACAGACTCGCAAAGAAGACGGCAAACCCAAAGAAGATGGTAAACCCCCAGCAGCGGCCACCGGCGATAAACCAAAGCCAGGTGATGCCAAACCCGGAGCACCTAAGCCACCCGATGGTCCTGCACCGGCTGCTAAACCGGATGCTTCTGCAGCCGCCAAGCCTGCTGTTGCTAAGCCCGGTGAAACTAATAAACCTCCAGCAGCGGCTGCCAAAAAAGATGAAGCTGCCAAAACAGATGCCGCAAAACCACCAGCTGGAGCTGAAGCTGCCAATAAAGCTGCCGCCCCCGCTGCACCCGGTAAACCAGATGCCAATGCTAAGTCTCCAGCCGGTGATGCTGCCAAGGCTGCCGCTGGTGCTGCAACCAAAGCTGCTGGTGGTCCCGGCGATAAGCCGGCAGATGGCAAAAAACCCGACGAGAAAAAGCCTGACGAAAAGAAAGCCGATGATAAAAAACCCGATGATAAGAAACCGGATGACAAGAAACCGGACGACAAAAAAGCCGACGACAAGAAACCAGACGAAAAGAAACCTGATGATAAGAAACCCAAAACAAATATTAAAGTGGGTCAGAGTAGTGCTGCTGCCGGTGGTGATCGTGGCAAGTCGACTGTTACCGGCCGCATGATATCTGGTTGGCTTTAAGTAGAGCTTAGAGAACAAAAACAGAAATGCAACGAAAGAAAAAGAAGAAAATTGGATAAGGATATTCTCGTTCACTTCTTTATGGCATTAAACATTGAGACTAAAGACATATAATTGATATTTTTTAAATAAATAACAATAAAAAAGAAATTGAAATAAATTATAAATATATGAATAAAGGATTTGAGTAAGACAAAAAGAAGTTAATTACTAAAATTAGATTTAGAAATAAAAATAATGAATAAACAAACGATCATTTAGAAAAGGAAAGTCGAGGACAAAAAAGCAGATAATGAAATGAGATGTTTTAACTTGCCGAGAAAGATTAAGTTATTAACTTAAGATAAGACATTTATTTAAGTCCTGCTCTTTTACTTCTGTCGTCGTAGTCGTAGCATGATTGACAGCTTCTGATATATGGATTTTGAAAGATTGCCATTTAGTTAACTCATTGGAATAATGATGATTTGTAGGTTATAAAAGTTTCAAAATTTTGATAAGCGTAAAAACCTAAGACGATTTATCAATGTCCGTCAATTTTGCACAGATCAGTCTTTGGCCTGCAGGTAGGTAAAATCCGAAGATGGGCTATATGGGTTCACTATATCATTTAACGATACCCCCCGATATTCAGTATTTTTTAATGATTGAAGCCACACTTTTAAATAGATTTGACTGGAATGCAATGTGTTAAGTTCGTAATACGCACTTGTTAAACTGACGAAAAATTGTGTAAATAGGTCTACAATTGCATATAGCTCCGATATAAAATTACCACCAGATATTCGGTTTTTTCATGATTTTGGTCAAAATTTGTATGGAATTTTTTTACCCTAGCCAAGTATTACCTCATCTCTATATAATGGTACCGTCTCCATAGCCAACATTTTTATGAGTTTAGTCAGATATTTCAATGGTTTTGTTCCTAACAAAGCCAGCATATTGGTATTTCGATGTGTTTCTTGAAACATTTTACGGTAGTTTTAATAAACAATAATCATCTAGCAATGATGGATCTATTTAGATTATATTTTTCAAATTTGCCATTTTAAATGGATATCTTACGAAAAATTTAGAAAATATCTTAAGAAAAATGAACAAGTAAAAAAGCAGTAAGTTCGGTCGGGCCGAACTTTGAATACCCTCCACCATTTGGAACGATTTAGAAAATTTTCAAAAAAAAATAAATATTTTAAATCTTTACAATATCTAATATAGGAAGGTGCCGATATATGGGGGTATATATGATATTGTGGACCTATTAAGACAAATCTATGTCTGGGTGTAAAGTACTCACAAGGAACTCCTTGTGTGGATTTTCAGATAATACCATTGGAAAAAGTTGAAAAATGTGGCTAAAATCATCAAAATACCGAATATCGAAGGTACCGTTATATGGGGGCTATACGATATCGTGGACCTATATAGATAATTCTCTTCCGAGGTATAAAGTACCCACAAGGAACTCCTTGTGTGGATTTTCAGACAATTCCGTTGACAAATGTGGGTAAAATCATCAAAATACCGAATATCGGGGGATATACGATATGGTGTACCTATTTAGATAATTCTCTGCTGAGATATAGTGCACCCACAAGGAACTCCTTGTGTGGATTTTCAGACAATTCCGTTGAAAAATGTAGGTAAAGATATCAAAATACCGAATATCGGGGGTACCATTATATGGGGGATATACGATATCGTGGACCTATATAGACAATTCTCTCTCAGGGGGTAAAGGAACTATTTGGAACTACTACAAGGAACTACTTGTGTGAATTTTCAGACAATTCCATTGAAAAATGTGGCTAACATCTTCAAAATACCGAATATCGGAGGGTACTGTTATATGGTGGCTATACGATATCGTGAACTGATATAGCCCATCTTCGAACTTGACCTGCCTGCAGACAAAAGAGAGATCTGTGCAAAATTTCAGCTTCCTATCTTAATTCGTTTAGACTGTAGCGTGATTAAAACAGACGGACAGACGGACGGACAAGGTTATATCGTCTCAGAATTTTACGCTGATCAAGAATATATATGCTATGTTGGGTCTAAAATGATTATTTCGAACATAATATACCCTCCATACTATGTATGGTGGAGGGTATAAAAATAGAAAATATAACCAAAATAATTTTTCCCCAATGGTGGAGGGTAGGAACCGTTAGGCCCCGCCGAACTTAACTGTCTTTTTTCTAGTTAGTACTCAAAATGCACAATTTGTTGTTTTTAACAAAAAATTTTTAATCAACACTTCATATATCGTGCCAAATGTTTAGCCTTTCAAGGTTTTGTACAGGGTGAATTGAAAAAACTGCAATCAACTTCAGACTGGTGTCATTTCTAAAACACCATCGCACTCAGCACGCGCCACCCAAGAATGGTTACAAAATGAGTTCCTCGCTTCTTTCCAGCGACAATGGCCAACAAAATATCCAGATACCAATCCGTTGGACTATTGTGTCTGGAGTATTTTGGAAAGCAAAAAAAAAAATACCAAAGTGTCGATCACCTCAAGCTCGCCAGGAATGGGCAAAAATACCGCAGAGCAATATTAGGGCAGCATGTGGCGGTTTCATTGGCCGTTTGAAGGTCATAATTCGTATCAAAGGTGACCAATTCGAACAAATCTAAACTTATTCTAACATTTGATGCTATATCCGACATTTTTTGCTTTCATTTAACAAAATTTGCAAAAAAACAAGTAAAAAAGCTGTAAGTTCGGCCGGGCCGAACTTTTAATACCCTCCACCATTTGGTACAAATTTGGCAATTTCCAAAAAAAAAAAAAATAAATAAAACCCCTTGAAAATTCTGTTGAATTCTGTTAAGTTCTGCATAGGCAACTTTTGCCATAAGTTATTACAATATTTAAATGCGAAACTTGAAGAAAAATTTGTTTATAATGTAGCTAAAATCATCAAAATACCGAATATAGGAGCTACCGTTAAATGGGGGCTATACGAAGACGTGGAAAATTTTCTGGCATGGGATGAAGTATCCATTCCGAACTTCGCATGAGAAATTTGAATCAATTCCGGTAAATAATGTCGCTTAAATCATCAAAATCCCGAATATCGGGGGGTACGGTATATGGGGGCTATACGAAGATGTGGACCTACATGGCTCATTTTTTGACTTAAGATGTAGTATCCATTACGAACTTCAAATGCCAAGTTTGAAACAATTCCGGTGAATAATGTCGCTAAAATCATTAAAATACCGAATATCGGGAGGTACCGTTATATGGGGGCTATATGAAAACGTGGACCTACATGGCCCATTTACGAACTTAACCTGCCTACTGGCAAAATATACATGTGTGCAAAATTTTAGCCTTCTATCTCAATTTGTTCGAAAGATAGCGTGATTACAACAGACTGACAGACGGACATGGCTAAATCGTCTTAGAATTTTACGCTGATCAAGAATATATATACTTTGTTGGGTCTGACATGAGTATTTCGAGGAGTTACAAACGGAATGACAAAATTAATATATCCTCCATAGTATGGTGGAGGGTATAAAAATATATATAAAAATTATGGCTTCTTACTTTGTTGCAGTTTTTTTATCTTACCCTGTATATTATTAAGTATTTCTCTTTCTGATAGAATAATAGAAAAATGTTTATCTTTTGCACCAAAAACTCTTCAAAATCTTTCATTTTTGAAGTTTAACGAGAAGGATATTTGTAAAACCATTGCATAATCGACCCACATTCAAGATTTCTGTGCAAAACTATGTCAAATTCTTCATATGTAAACCCTGGTAGTCAGCAGTGACCTCAAAATTAAATTTCGTAATTTCAGCCTTATCCCTTCAACCAATACCACTTTGTGTACTATACATTTCCAAAGCAACCTCCATATCTTAAACACAGACACCAACAGAGACGAGATTCCAGTTCAATACAAAAACTAGTACTATTCAGAGGTTTTCGTACAATCAAAGTACACATTTCCGAAATGACCTCCATATGTTCATGCTACACATGAACAGTGACCCTAATTCTCCCAATACCAAATTGAACCAAATATAGTTCAATGTAGAACTCTTCGTGCACTTGTTGTATACACTTCAAAAAAAACCAAAACCACTCTTTTATAACAAGCTTACCAACAACTGGGACCACAATATTAAATTTTATTTTCTTCCATTCACTCTAAATCAAACTATTCCAACTTTACCTTTTCCCCACCACCACCTTTATGTATCAAATTTACTTTCCAACTTTGATTTTCATGCCAAATTCAAGTATTCAGCTCCATTAAATGAGACGATTTTATAAGTTAAACTATACCAGTACAACCAGTCCTTTGGTAGATCTATTGTTCAGTCCATTAGTGACTATTGTTCCAAATTTCAGAAATCTAGCTCATTCCCTTTGTCCTATACAAACTATTATTTTTTTTTTTTTTTTTAGAACATTTAAGTACTTTTCGTACCCTGGTTTTGGTTTAGTACGAAGTAATAAAAACGAGCCTTACCACATACCAACGCACCAAGACTGGCTCTCAAAATCGTGTCTTCAGCCATCTCTTCATGACGTTGATTCTACGTCAGCCATTCAAATTTCAAAGAGTGTGGAAGAGGAGGGAACTTTTGGTTCTATTTATTCTACTTTGCGACGAAACTTGCAAAACGCCGATACACGTGTCTTCTTTTTTTAGGCCTACTTTCATAATCTGCTGGATTTTTCCGGTTGCACAGTGTAGTTATCGCTTTACAAACAAAATGTTTCAAACTACATGTGAATAGGGTGTAGCTTCATTAAAGGGTAATTTTATCATTTTTTATTTCATTTAAGCGTTTTTTCTAATTTAAGTGTTTGTTTTCTCTTTCGAGACGAGCTTAATGATCTGAAATTTGCAGTGAAAAGGAAAGCCAGATAGACACTATCACACACTCACCACTATGCGACGCGTTTCGCCGTTGGTTAAGCGGCTCATCAGGCATATTTGATGTGGATGATGGCTTTCAAGGGCCGTTCTCTGGAAAGTAGTATATATTTCGAACTTATTGCAAATTAGCATATGCGAATTATACACTAGAAACTCTCCAGGTTCGACTCAAGTTCTATTGGCAGATCTTTTTCACAGCAACGTTTTGTTTTTGTAGTGATGGATTTTTTGTCCACAACAACTACATTGCTTCCAATGCATACACTTGTTTT